CCACTCAACAATATCTCAACCACAAACTCACATTGCATCTCAACATCAAACATCTTACTGTTGCATGGAAAGGCCCTGCCACTGACAGGGATCCCACTAAAGAGTAAAGCCAGCAAGTCTTTAAAATCCAAACCAATTGTGAGATAGAAACAAGATTTTACTGTGCTTTTACCTTCCTGCAGCTTTTGAGTTCAAAACGCACCAAAAGCACGCCAAGCTCATCAGAAGAAGGAAAAATTTGTTTTCCTTTTGAACTGCGAGCATTAAGACTTTCTGGGGGAACTCATACATCATTCACTTCCTTCAAAACTGATCTGAACAAAATCAGCAGGGTCAAGGATGCTCCCAGATGCCTGTCCCAACAACAGAACTAGCTAGAAAGGATGAGAGTTCAAGGGGATTGCTCCTCATTCCTTTATTTACTGCTACTATTTCCATATCCCTACAGAGACAAACTCCCTGTTGGTCTAATTCCCACCTTCAAACTAAAACACACCTTCCCTATCTGACTCCAATTACTCAGAACAGTCTTTAAATGGAGTAGACTCCATTCAAAACATGTCCAGAATGTGCACCCCCAGACTACTGCAGAGATGCTGTCTGATCTTCTCCAGGTTCTCCTACACCAGCGAGGCACAGCATGGCTTGCCTGTGTCTGGGACATGCCTGTGTGAATCACAGCAGCTTTATGGCTGCCTTGCTAAGTCAGAGATTTATGGCAGAAACATAACTCCAATTCATGCATTTACATTTTATTCTGGAAAAGCTTCAATGTTGTCAGCCAACTTCTAAACCTGATTAGGAGAAACAAGAATTTCTGCATCTTAGAATAACTTTGGAGGTTCTGCTTAGAATACAAAACCTAAAAAGCAAACAAACAACCTCCAAAAATACAGAAAACAAGGATGCTATTTCACAAAGTATTGACTTAGTGCCTTCATATCAAGAAAGGTAGCCTATCTGCTCAAATTACATTTCCCTGATAGAAACAGACACAAACCATACCAAAAGTCCCTGACAGTAGCTTCCAATAAATGTTCTAAAGAAAGAGAGATCTGGAGAGATATATAAATAAAAAACGTAAAAATGGCTAAGCAATTCTGTTAAATTTGCTAACCAACTTATTACTTAAATCCTTTACAGTTTACCTTTGTCTAAAATAAGCCAAACTGAGTTCACAGTAGAAGTATTTACAGTACTGAAAATATCTGTAGCCCCCAAAATCTATAGATTCACAATTCTTCCTACCTTTTTTATTTTAAAGTCTTCTATGGAAAAATAAAAAGCACTGCGAAAATTAGTGTATTTATTGGTGGCTAATATGAATACCAAACTCAAAATTAAAGTATCTGCTAGCTATTTTTTTAGTGTATGAAATCAGTTTCTCCATGCTCTACGAATGAGAACTCAACTCTCTTTATTTCTTATACAGAATTCATATATTTAAAATTTTTCATTTTTAAGATGTACACACACACGCACAAAAACTCAGTCAGTCACACTGCCTCTTCATTGCCAAGCCTGAGGAAATTTAAACCCACTCAAAACTGAAATAATCTTGCTTTGGAAAGCAAGAGCAATATAAGAGAGTAATTGTTCATGTTACAATCCAAACATCATTTATTCTTTCACACACACACTTATCAAAGGAAGTGACAGCTACAAAGAGTAAAGTGGCAAGAAAAACAAAAAGTCATTTACAAAGGATTTATGGAAAACAAATTTGCGGGGGGGGGGGGGGAAGTAACCACAGCTGCCAGCCTGGTTGACTGAGATTACAATAAATATGTGCACAAACGCCTAAAACAGTGACATCTTCACACCCAACTGGACACCTAATCCACTTAAGAAGACTACTGCTTTCCCCATAAAATTTCACTTATAAAAATACCTTGCCAGTCTAGCAAGAGAGCTGCAGTTCTCTCCAGGAGTATCTCCCATCCCGTACAAAGTAGTGGTGACAGCGGTACTGGCCCTCAGCTGGAGAGGGAAGCAGTATCTGACTTTAAAACATAGAGATTAGATCCAGGACACTTCGTGCCTTGCACAGAAAGCATCAGAGCATCTCTTCTGTGTATTTTTCAGAGTCCACAAGAAGAAAAGGGAAGGACCACTTATCTTGGCATGCACTGCCAGAAATGTGTCAAGAATTCATTGTTATTTTATTGCATTTTTGCTACACAGGCATGTAAGCCACATGGGTATGTGCCAGTCTGATGAGCAGTTGATAAGTTTACTGGAAAACTCCCTAGACGATCATTCACATGTAAAAGATGCCATTTTCCAAGGGTCAAAAGAATGATCACAATTAAAACTAAAATCCAGGTCATTCAGACCACATGAGTATTCAAAATAATGATAGGCAGTAGCTTTTTTTTTTTTTTTTTTTTTTCTCCTTTCTTTAACTAATGGAATCTTACCATCAGCATGCTAAATTCCTTTCAAAGTTTGGAAACTTTCTGGTTTTGATCAAGACCAGCTTCAGGGAATGTCAACACAAACAGCATCAGGAGACTTGAACACCTGAATCCACAGATTTGGAATAGCAACCATGGGAAATTCACATTGAAACGGCCACTCAACGGCTTCATTCTGAAGCCTTTAGGTGGTTTATCAAAAGGAGTCCAAATGATGACATCATCAGCTCAGTTGCAACTACACCTGCAATCATAGTCTCTCTGGGGAGACAAAGAAGCAGATAGCAACTACCTACCAAGTTTTTCCAATCTACTGCAAGCATCTCCTTCTCTAAAAACTGGGTGTATTATTTTTTTATTTTTAATCAGTCTGGTACTCCTAGAGATCACCTGTTTATTACCTGCTAAAGAATAGTGATCAAACTCCATTAGTTAAAGCAAATGTGACAATAAGGTAATTATTACACAGAATTTACTTAAAATACCATTCAAGAATTCATGTTAGCATTTATTAAATAACTCTGAAAGAATGAGCTGCCAAGCTATTCAACAAGGTACAAGGGTGTACACATGGCTGTCAAAAGTAGCTATCATCAGCAAATAACCCATCAAATACTTTTTAAATTTGTTGTTTAGCAGTAAGTTGTTGGGAAAGACAAACATGACACTGAGCATAGCTGGTTGAAAACAGACAAATTAAAAGAAAAAAAAAAAAATCAGTTCTTCACCCAGCGGAGGAGATACTGACGTGCCAGGCGACATATTACAGGGTTCCCCCGCACTCAGAGCAGGCAACGTTACAGCTAATGAAGTCTAAGAGTATTGTTCTCTCTCTCATTACCACTCACACACAGGACTTGTTTGAGGTGGAGGTCTCAGACGTAGGTTTAAAAGAGATATCTTAACAGTTGAGCTTGGAAGTGCCTCGTTAGCATACAGTCATTAGACAGTGGTGCTAACGATCCTTACCCAGAATTCAGCCTGAAAAGCCAATGGGGGAAAACCATTCCAGACCACAAACTGTCAGTGCAGTGTTCCAACTATGAAAAGACAGTAAATTCAAGTTACAGCTATGCGCTACCTTTATGTATGCAATCTGTGAATGGAAAAAAAAAAGTGAGTCATCCTGGATTAAAGCCTTTTACGTATTCTTACCTGTTAACATACCAGTGCTGCTCAGCTCTTCAAGCAACAAAATGCCCACATTCATGACTCCAGTAATTCGCCTTTTTTTAAGTCAATGATATAATGAAAGGCTACAAAAGACTAGCTGTGTGCATTTTTACAACTTTAAAAACTTTCTCTTGAGTTTGGGGGTTTTTTTGCTGTTAAGTCAGACACTGACTTTCTGCTAGGCAGACAGAATGACACATCCCTCAGCAAAGTTTTAAGCAAATACAGAACTGTTCTTGCAAGACTTTTTTTGCACCACACAGGAACATGACTTCCACCCAACTTAATCCCACACCCTCTTCACCCACAACGAGGATAAAAGGCAGGAGCTATTTCAAGCACTGCAGGGTACTTGCTCTACACCCACAGCCTTGTTTGATACCGTCCTAACAATGAGGCTCTTGTACAACCCGACTCCTCCAGATGTGGTCTTGGAGATGCAACCCAAGCCAGCTGGGCTGCATGTGCTCAAGATGACATAAAGGTGTTGGTTTGGGGGTGGTTTCTTTTTTAAAAGTGGGACATGGAGAACCCCTCTTTGCCCTATGATAGCGCTTGGTCTTGTTGCATCAGAACAAGCCATAATTTCACTGCCTCCAGGAACCTCGGCTGCCATGGGGGCCGGCAATACCTAGTGACTCCTTCTCCCCTCCCTGGCATCAGCCCAGGTTTGAAAAGTTCAAACTCCGTGCAGGTTGCAGCTCCTCCACGCCATCCAGTATTTCAGCAGATATGGGCACCCCCAGGATGGCTCCCCCGCGAGCAGATCCGTCCCAGGGCGGGCAGGAGCAGGGCTGGATCGTGGTGAACACTGGTGTCACCACACAGGAGCCGGCAGTGCCACACCTCCGATTCGTTATTGTTACTGGGGCAGTTGTTGTTATTATAACTGCCGGAATTGTTATTCTTCTTATAACTCATTATCATTATTTTATGAGAATTATTACTGTTAGAATTGTTATTATTGATAGAATTTGTTATTACTAATATGCGAATTTTTGGTACTACTGTTGTTCGAATTTATTATTATTAGGATGTGTTATTAATGGTAGAATTTTTAGTATTGCTGTTGGGTTTAGACCATTTTATTTTGGTAAATTCTTCTTATTATTAGCATTTTTATTTATTTATTGCTGCTGTTAGACTTCATTATTAGCCCTTCCTGCTGTAATTTTTATTATTACTACCGTTAGGTTTCTTTCAGTCGGATGTAGTATCTCTGCTCCTGCGATTCGTTATTATCGTTATTATTGGAATTTTTATTAGTAGTATTCCTACAAACGTTTCGGTTTTCCCTTCCCCCGCCGCCCACCTCGCCCAGGACGCGGCGGCCGTCCCCAGCCGGTCCCCCACGACCGACACCCTCCCCGGCCAAGCTGGGCGGCCTGCCCCGCCCCCGCCGCCCCTTACCCTCGCACTGGTAGCCGGCCAGCCCCCAGATGAAGTCGGTGCAGTAGTGGCAGAAGGTGGGCTTGGTGAGGGTCACCCTGCGGAAGCCGTGGCCCGGCGGGCTGCTTCCCGCCGCCGCCGCCGCCACCGCGGCGCGGCCCCGCCCGCCCAGCGCCGGGCTGGAGGCCGGGCTGCCGCCGCGCAGCGAGCGCGCCCCGTCCGCCATGCCCGCTCCTCGCGGCGCGGCGCGGCGCGGCGCGGACCGGCCGCCGCTCGCCCTCGCTTCCGCCCGAGGCGGCGGCGGCGGCGGCGGCGGCGGCGGCGGGCGGGGGCGGGCGGGGGGCGGGCGGGGGCGGCGCCCTGGCAGGGCCGAGGCGGGCGGCGCCGCGCTGCCGCCTGCCGGCCGCCCCGCGCAGCCCGCCCTGAGGGAGCGCCGAGGCCGGCCCGCCGCCTCCCCTCAGGGCCGCCGCCATTCCCGCCGCTTCCCCCAGGCGCCTCCGGTGAGGTCTCAGCTCCTGCCGGGTGCCCGCCGCGCACCGGGCGCGTAGGGCTGGAGAGGTAGGCGGAAGGGTGTTGGGAAACGAGCCGCTCTGCAGCGGTGTGGGTGGCAAACGTGCCTCAGAGCCGTGGGCGTGCTTCCGTGTCCCGCCGCCGCTGCCGGTGCCTTGCAGTGGCAGAGCCACATGGAGAAACCTCGAAGCGGGGAAGAAGAGACCTGCTCGTCAGAAGGTCTCATCGCGAACAGGCAGCGGGTCCAGTTTGGAACTTAAAACTGTGAAGCTTGACAAGACCTCCGGTTTCTTGCCGTGACATTAAACCGGATGGTTTTGCTACTCCAGCCTTCTGGAATTTTGGAGCGCGCAGAGCTCCATCCCAAGTTTTCTGATGATGCATCAGGAGAAGATGGTTTGCCATAGATTTTGCTTCTACTCTCAACATCTCTGCCTTTATGAGAAAAGAAAAAGGGTTCTGCCTTAGCAGCCTCTCTCCTGTATAACACATTTTTTTTTTTTTTGGTCCTTTAGGTTCAATTTGCCTCCTTGGTGCTAGTTTTTCAAACATTTACACACCAGAATGTTTCCATGTTGCTTGTCTCCTCCTCTGAAATTCCTCTGTTTCTTTGACTGTTACTACATTAGGCAAATTATTGGGGCTGGAGTAGGTTGGGACAAGAAGGGAGGCTGTGCCTTTGGATTTTGTGCATATAGATGTATGCTGTCCACATCTCCACTTGTCTGATTGGGTCCTAGATCTCAGCTTTGTATTAAGTGAGAATCTCCACTGAACTGTCAGAAACAACATCCAGGTACCTTCATTAAGCCATGAGTGACAAGAAAAGAGTAGTTTAGATTTTTATCCCCGACTCTGGTTTATTTGTATTTTGGTGAAAAGTTTAGTCAACCGTCCAGTTGTCCTGTAGACCAACACTGAAGTCCTCCTAAAATTTCATCTTCTAGTTTCTGCTAATCTTACTTTACATCTCTTCTCCATGTTGTCAATATGAACGTTTTTATGACCAGGAGCAATATGGATTTGACCAAAGAGAAACAGTAAAAATAAGAGACTAGAAAAAGCATGGTAAATCTTTTTATAGTTGGAGAAACAGTGAGCAGTTAGATAAAAAAGCTCAGAAATATTTCTAATTGCTCCCACAAACACGATTTAGAAAGCATACCTGAGATATTGTAGAGCTTTATGGAGTCCCAAATACACAAGAGGATGGGGAAAAGGGAAGCAGTGTGAAGACCATTCCCTTGAAGACATGTGCCTGCCCAATACAATGAATGAGCCAAAGCCCATAATGACAGGTCCCATCTTCCACAAACTCAGCCTCACTTTGGTCTTTGTGAAGATCATAGAGCAAGGGCTCTTGGAACACATTTATGGGCACATGGAGGAGGACATGATGATTAGGAACAGCCAGTATAGATTTACTAAGTGTCAGTGATGCCTGACCAGCCTGAATGCCTTCCATAATGAAACAGGTAGATCTGTGTAGGAGCAGAGACCACTGGAACCTTGACATCAGCAACGAAATTGTCTCCCACAGTATTTTTGTATTCTTGTGGTGTTTAGCTGTCTGCTGAGTTATATCATGACACCAATCTGGAATGTTATGGTTCAGCATGGGTGGACAACTAGCTGGGTAAAAAACTGGTTAGTTGGTTGGGCTCAATGGGTAGTGGTTAATGGGCTAATGTGGCTAATGGTAGTGGCTAATGGGTAGTGGTTTCAGTGGTACTGGAACTCTGCCTGGTGGCCAGTAACGGGAGAAGTACTACAGGGGTCTCTCCTGGGACCTGTTGTATTCAGTATCTTTATCAACAACATGGAGAAGGTGATGGAGAGCAGTATTGTCAGGTTTGCACATGACACCGAGCTGGGGGGAACAGTCATTACCTGGACAGGCGGGAGAAACGGGCAGACAGGCAGCGGGGCAGCGCTGTGGAAAAGCTCCCGGGTGTCTGGGTTGACAATGAGCTGATACAAGCCAGCTGTACCCCCTGGCAACAACCAGGGTCAACAGCACCCTGGGCTGTTCAGAAGCACTGCCAGTAGGCTGAGAGGAGGGATTATCCCTCCCTCCTCAGCACTCGTTAGAGTATTGCATCCAGATTTTGCCCCCCAGTACAGGAAGCACACTGACAAACTGGAGCAAGTTCAGTGGTGGGCAACCAGGATGGTCAGGGGCTGGAGCACTTATCCTGTGAGCAGAGGTTGAGAGAGCAGGATTTACTCAGGCTGAAGAAGATACAGCTTCAGGGGACCTCACAGCAGCCCCCTAGTACCGACACAGAGGTTTTCAAAAAAATTGAGCAAGGTTCTTTGCAGTGGTGCATGCTGGGAGGACAAGAGACAATGGGCAGAACTTCACACAAGGCGTTCAGGCTGGCTGTAAGGAGTAACCTTTTCACCCTAAAAGCAGCCAAGCAGAGGAGCAGGTTACCTGGAGATCTTATGCCATCTGCATCCTTGAAAGTTTTCAAGACATGACTGGATAAGCCATGACCAGCCTGGTGTGACCTCATGGCTGACACAGCTTTGAGCAGGAAAACTATAGTAGGTGACCTCCTGAGGTCCCTTCCAACTTGAATTATCCCATGGTCCTACGATTCAAAATGTTACACTCAGCCATTTCAAATGTGAATGGATCTCCACACGCACACAAATACTATCTCTTTTAGAGATCTAGCTATGTTGTCAGTTGATGCAAGCTGACATAGCTCCTTGAGTTTTATCTCTGTGCACCAGGTGGGAGTGCAGATGTGCACAGAGGACAGCTGAATTCAGAGACACTACAGGTACATGTAAATTCCTATTGAACATGGAGAAAAGGAAACTAACAAAATTGGACTGTTTGACATGTCTGCTTGCCTCAACTCCCATGTAGTCTATTTCAGTGCTTTGAAGCAAGCTGAGTTCGACTATATCATGACAAAAGTTGTAATTAGATTAGAAGTGACTGGTTTTATAGATAGGTTTCAGTGCTGTTTGCCAGATTTGTTCTCTGGGACATTCCTCCTTGTTCAGGAGAGGAAGCCCCTTGACTGTGTGCTTAGCTTATTTTATATTCTCATGTAGCTATAGAGATCTTTCACTTTTCTTCAAGAACTTGCCTACAAAGAATCTTGCTTCATGTGTTCCAATGGCCTGTCCTGCCTTTCTTTTCAGCATAGACTGTCCTCTTGGACTGTACTTCTTTTGTGTGGATCTAATAGTCCTTCCCCTCTCAAGGGGCAGAGGCCAAAGAGTTGGAAAGCTGAAGCTTATGTGAACAAATCTTTCCTATGACCGGGGAAATATACTGAACTGCCTTACAAGGGCATCAGAATTTAGCCCTGTTTCAAAAGCCTGAGGAAGTAATCAATACCTCCTTTCACAGAAATATGAAAATGCATTCAATTACTGAGTAATTCAGGTACATTAGTGTATCATCCGCCAGTGCAGGGTAGTCACAGGGTTTCCTTGCTAGAAGTTACCTGTGGAATGGTAGTTTTTATTGTTAAGGTATAAATGAACATGCGAGATTTTGGCTATCTTTTAATATCTGACTCCCCAGATACATATTTATATGCTGTAACACATAGGCATGTGTGACCTATACTTGTTGTGCTTTAACTTTCATACTTACCGCTGAGCAACCAGTTTAACCAGTCAAAACAACCTAAATCATCTGATGACTGTGTTCAGCTGAATCTGCCACCACCTCTGCTGCCAGGAGCCAGGGAATATGGCAGCAGTTGAAGACTAGCCATCCTTTCAGTTTCGTGTGTGTAGCAGGGATGCCGTCCTCAGCAGTGGAAAAGAGTGAGGTAAAGAATTCTTACAAGAGCTGTCACATTCATAAATGTGATAGCCCACTAGAGGGATTTGATATCAGTTCCTGACTCAGAGCTGGTCATCTTAACTGCAAGGTTTCTACTGCCTGTATGTCTGTACTCAGGATACTGATCCAAAATCAGAAGAATGATGATAGCTGGAAGCTATTCCATCTTTTGGAAGCAATTCCAGACTTCTTTTATTCTGTACCCTTTTCGTGGGTTATTTTGGTTTTGGGTTGTTTTGTTTCTGGTTTTGGTTTTTTTTTTTTTTTTTTTAGCTATCAAGGAGTTCTTTCTAAGCAGGGTATATATTGATCTTTATAAAAAAAGATAGTTAAAGGCTTTTTTGAAGAAGAAACAGCACTTTGCATGAGCCAAGGAAGATGGTGTTACATGCAACTAGAATTAACTGTCTCTACTCTCACAATGGCAGGAACCTGTGCAGCTAAAAATAATAAAAAAATAAAAGCTGCTAGCTCTTTTTGGAGTGTCAAACCAGAAGACCAGCCAGACTAAAGAAACAGTTGGAAGTGGCTTGATCATAGAAAAGCATGCAAAAGAGCCACTACTGTTCAGGGTCACATTTATAGTCACATTCCTAGTGATTTGAAGTGGGAACATATTTATGTCAGGTCAGGCAAGTACTGTCTGTCTCTGACAGCTCTGCCGGGACAGAACTATTACACATTTTCAGCAGCAGTGTGTTACTGGCTGGTAGCTCACTGTAGTAAAGCTATGCTGGCTCTCTGGGACAGGCTATCTGAGGAGCGTCATCCCCAGAAACTGCAGTCAGTAGTCAACTTTATATGCAGATCTGCTTTGGAGCTCTTTTCAGATAACCCAATGTCATCGACAGTCAAAGCACAGTGTGGGGACAAAAACATAGAATCATAGAATAGTTTTG